AGGGGGAACAGATTTTCACGGGGGAGCAGAATTTCGCACAAGACCGGAACCTAAACCAGGGCTCTGCACAGAACCCTTGAACCGGTCGCTGTCCCAGGACCTCCTTAAGGAGATGCCAGGTGAACTCTGGAGATCCCCCGAGGGGCAGTTTAAGGCTCATTCGGTTCTGAGATGAACCTGTTTGCCTTCAGAAGCTCAACTTGTGGGCTGTCGATGTGGCCCTCAAAGATGTGAGGGCTCGAGCAGGGTTCAGAGGTCCTCACAGACCTGGCAGGCAGGGTCCAGAAGAATTCTTCAAGGATAATTAAAACTGGGTCCACCCACTGTGGGTGTGATCCTTGGAGAAAGGAGGGGTTCGTGGGTGCTGCAGAGGAACCGCAGGAGTTCATAACTCAGCTTCTAATAATATATTTAAATTTGTTGTGGCCACAGAGGGTTTGGGATGTTCTTAGCCAGGATCCAGGGTTCTTGGGATATTTCAGGGCCTCCAGGGGAGGTTCACTGTGGAGGATTTAGGGTGGGGTAATGGCCTCAGAGGTTCCAGGCATCTTCTGGTGTGGATCTAAGATAGAAGTGGACTTCCCTTCCCAGGCAGACCCAAGATCCAGTGAAATAAGAATAAATACATGGAAACCTTGTGAAAACCAGACTGGCGTCACCACTAGTGTTCTGAAGATGTTCTCCAGGGGGGAGAAGGTGCTCCCAGGTTTATGGTTCTGGTGTGAGACAAACAGAACATGTCATGTTCAGTGCAGAGACTACAGCTGCTCTGTGGCCCAGTTTGGCCCAGTTTGTCCTGGTTCAGTCTGTCCTGATTTTATGTGGCCTGGATCCAGCAGCTGCTTAAGTCCTGGATGGTTCTGCCTCTCGTGCTCAGACTCCTCAGCGTCTGACTGAAACTCGGATTGTTCGTTTAGTTTGAATTTCAGCTGAAACTGAACGAGCGTCAAGACAAACGAAAGGTAAAATGAGCTCATCAAAAGCTAAAGTCGTCAAAAACAATAGCTAAAAGATCAAACAAACAGTAGCAACGAGCTTTAATCAGCAGAGCAGTAGCTAAAAGCTCTAATTAGCATAACAGTAGTTAAAGGTCACAACAGAGAACACGGCAGACTAAAAGCTAAACTTATCAAAACCCAGTCTAAAAACTAACTGAACCAAATCTCAAGTTAACACCACAAGCTGAAACTAGCAGAATGGTAGCGCAGAGCTAAAAGCAGCAGAGCAATAGCTAAAAAGTAAAACCAGCTAAATGACAACTAGCCTGTGGCTACATGCTAAAACCAGCAGAACGGGGAGCTAAAGCTAACGTGAGCAAAACGGTAGCTAAAAGAAAAAAATGAAACGATTGTGCCGAAAAGATTTTTAAAGAAAAGGGGCGGCACGGTGGCGCAGTTGATAGAGCTGTAGCTTCTCGGTGAGGAGGTTGCCGGTTCAAATCTGAATGGTTGTTTGTCTCTGTGTGTCCCTGTGGAGACCTGTCCAGAGTGTCCCCCACCTCTCGCACAGTGATGGCTGGACTTGGACACCAGTGACCCCCATCACTTAAATAGGAAGAAGTTGGTACAGATGATGGACGTTAAAATATACAAAAACAAAAAAGGCCAAAAAGTCTTGAACAGGTTTTGACCCTGGAAGTAACAGGAAGTAGCTGAAGCACTTTAAGTGAAGAGAAGAAAGTATAAAGAGCCGCAGCGAGTTCTGTCTGTGTGGTGAGTCCACAAACTGTTTATTCATTAACTGTCCGACATCTTGTTTTTAAAAAGAACCTTTGATTATCACAAAAACATTATTTCTGCAGCTAACCAGAGACGGAAGTCTGTCACAAACGAAACCAAAGTAAAGTCCATGAGATTCTCTGAGATGTAGTTCGGTTCCAGCAGTGTTGAACTGGTTTATGCTCCGAGTTACAGCCGAGCAGGTTTCATGTCTCCAACGTGTTTCTGGAAGTGCTCCCAGTTAGGATCCACGGTGGACCAGGCTCGACTGGTTAATGTGTTGAAGGATCGGTGCAGCTTTACAGTTTAACCGGCGGACGACCTCTTCGCAGAATACCAAGAATCTGTCCAACATTCTGGGTTTCACAGCGTGCACAGTACATCTCAAGGAAAATGTAATTTAATGAGTGTATTGCACCATATGCAAAGTTTATTATATATAAATGTTCTCAGTCGGCCATGTTGCTGGTACAGCAGCTCCTGAGTGGCAGACTGGAGTGGAACTTCCTCGTTCTCCTCCTCTTCCTCCTCTTCAGACTTTTCAAGCGAGGCACTCGCAGTTTATTGACGGCAGAGATTAAAGTAGAAAAATCTTTGGGCCGAAACGAAACTTCGGGGTCCAAGCACCCCCCAATACGACACCTTTGAGAGAGTTTTCCTGCACGCAGGATTTCATGTCCAGAGAAGTATACTGTGTACGTGACCTCAGTACAAGTACACTGTATACTACATGACCTCATTAAAAGTACACTGTATACTACATGACAGTACAAGTACACTGTATACTACATGACCTCAGTAAATGTACACTGTATACTACATGACCTCAGTAAAAGTACACTGTATACTACTTGACCTCAGTACAAGTACACAGTTTGGTGTGATTGTATCTACGAGGTGTTGAAGTTCTAAGAATCAGAACCAGCATCATTCTGAAGGAAGAGAGGGGTTTTGAACAATTTTTCTGTGTTTTACTTTTTATGTACTTTCAGTGTTTTATGTTGAGGGGTTCAGGTATAGTTTTTAAAAATATATATCCCAGGATCCTTTGCAGAGTATACCTTAGTATAACTTAAAATTATTAGTTTTTATTTGTCAGACTGACGGATTTCATCCATCCATTATCTTTTACCCGCTTCTTTCTTTGCGGGGGTCACTGGTGCCCCTATCCATCAGTCACTGTGCGAGGGACACCCTGGACAGGTCTCCAGTCCATCACAGGGACACCTGGAC